TGGAGACTATATTGCTCACAGGCCACAAACCCGTACAGCTTGCCACTGTACTGAATACTATAGGCCATTGTAACACACATGGATATTTGTGTATCTAAACATAAAAAGGTATAGTAAAAATACAGTATTATAATTATATGGGACTACTACAGAATATGCAGTTCATCATTGATCCAGACATCATTTTGTGGTGCATAACTATACTGGATCATTGAGGTTTATAGAGCTTCCAAATGTTCACACATTTCACTACATATTTAAAGAGATCACATTCATCTGTATAACCACTAGTCTTTTAAGAAAGGTCTTTAACCTTTGGGAAGTTCTTAGGCTCATGATGGCAGATGCGAGTTCTCCAAAATTATTTTCATTTAAAAACTTGAATTTTATCATCGACAACAAACATTTTCAGTTGTTTTCCTTGAAGTCTGGTGGGTTTGCTTTACTCATTTTCAAGATATCTTCCATTACTTCCTTTACTCATTTTCAAGACATATCCATGTCTGAATAAGTATAGTTTTCCTGTCATTCAGATAAAAATGTTGTCCATGAAGAAAGCAGCTGGTTCAGCTCACAACTTAACACGGCATGCTTTTGCCCAAGAAAACTCTTTTTGTTCTGTATGTAGAAGTACTGTCTTTATTTCATCATACAAAATACTCAAAAGACATATAATTATCAAGGTATTCTTAAGTAAAATTGGTTTTTATTGTTTATTATTTTACCACAAATGCATGGCAGTGAAGAATATAATGACTACCAGCACTGCTTTGGTGCTTCTGCCTTGATTTGTAATCAGATGCCATCAGTTTTACACACTTTTGCTTTTGTATTATCAGTACAAATGTCAACACAATGAAAAAGGCAAATAATGTCTAATTACTGTTATGAAAATAGCTTTGACCTTGTGGGTCCCCTGAAAGGATCTTGGCAATTCCTGAGGGTCTGCAGACAACACTCTAAAATCTGCAGCTCTAGATGTTAGCTATTGACTCCCTGCTGCTGCTGATGATGATTTCACTCCTGACATAGCTTCCATATCCCTTCCCTTTCTCAAGTTGTTATACTTAAGAGATTAGTTTCACTTCATCTGTTCACTGAATTTGTAACTTTAAATAATAAACACTAGCCTCTCTTTCTTCTTCCATATCCTTTTGACAGTATCTCTTGACTCTCTACCGTAGAATCAAAGGATATTAGTACCTTTAATCCTCATTAACTTCAATTTCCAGAAACCTGTTGGTTTTACTCTTTCATTGTTAAGGTTATATAATTATATGTATATATCTATGGATATATAATACATATATAATTTTTAAATGTACAGGTATTATTTTAAAGTATATCTACATAAAATTATGTCTCTATCTACAGATATGTGTATATGTACGTATATGTATATATCTACAGCTATGTATATATGTATATGTACTCATATGTATATATCTAAGATATATGTATATGTATACTTTTAAAGTTTCTAAGTTTATTAGTGGTTTAGTAATGTAGTCACTTCTTTTAGTGTTATGAAATCTGTGCTACCCAAAGGAGAATATCCTGATGTCCTGGGTTCTTCCTTTTATCGGTATCAATACCTCAGTGTTATGTCACATTTTAGTTTAAGTTTTGTTCATATGTATACTATAAATTTTTTTCCTGGAATTTCTACTGGGGTTTCTTTTTCTTTTTTTCTTGTCAAATGATGGAACCAATGAGCTCTTGGCCACATTAATAACATCTTCCAGCTTCTTACTCATTCCATATAATGGATTCTATTCTATTCTATTGTCTATAATGATAGTTTATTCGGGAATATAATTCTAAGTTCGATCTTATTTTCCTTCAGAATTTTAAAAAACGTGAACATTATTTATAAGAATCCAATGTAGCTGATGAGAAGTTTAATAACAACCTAAGATATGTTCCTTTTCTTTTTTCTTTTTTTTTCAAAACTGAGTTTTGCTCTTGTTGCCCACGCTGGAGTGCAGTGGTGGGATCTCGGCTCACTGCAACCTCTGCCTCCCGCGGTCAAGTGATTCTCCTGTCTCAGCCTTCCAAGTAGCTGGGATTACAGGTAGCCGCCACCACGCCAGGCTAATTTTTATATTTTTAGTAAAGTTGGGGTTTCACCATGTTGGCCAGGCTGGTCTCGAACTCCTGACCTCAGATAATCTGCCCACCTCATCCTCCCAAAGTGCTGGGATTACAGGTGTGAGCCACCACGCCTGGCCTAATTGTTATTTCTTTTCTCTTTGAGGCAAGACTTTTCTCCTTATCTTGGAAATCTGAAATTTTACAATGATGAGTTCAGTTGTGGATATTTTTCATACATTTTGCTTAGAACTCTGTGGGCTTTCTAAACTTGTAGGTGCTTGTGTCTCTCTGAAGACCTATTTTTTTTTTAAGTTTGGCAATCTTACTTTTAATTTTTTTCCAGAATCTTGAAGTTCTTACTAATAATTTTTAACTTCTAAGGGTGCCTCCTTTTTATTCATTTCACATAGTCTCACATTCATGCATTATGAGTATACTATCTTCCAGAATCTCTTTTAGCATATTAGAGATCTTTGTTGGTTTATATTATCTTTCCTTTCCTTAATCATCTATTTATGTAGTTAAGAATGAGAGACTGAATAGATCATACCTGGTAGCCAGTAAGAGTTTGTCTTGTTTTTGTATTTGTGGATTGGTTGAGCTCTTAGGTTTCCAGCATGAATAAAAGCCCTGTGTATGAATGAAATGAATGAAATGTGTTCTCTGCCAAGCTTTGCTTCAGAGAGAGAAGGTAAAGAGGCAACAGTTAGTTCAGAGGCCCTTTAAATGGCAAAATTAGTTGGGCTTTATTCTCGGTCATGAAAATCCACCTTAACAGCTGTGGTTTTCATTCTGTTGCTGGAGAGTTCTCCAGTATTTCGGTTAGGGAGTAAATGCTAAACTGCCTGTTCTGTGACTCAGGGATTTTGGAGAAGCGGAGATTGAGACTGGCTGGTACAAATGTTCCATAGGCAGACTTTCATTTAATCTCTTTATTTTCATATTTTCCCTTCTTCCTGGCTTCTTAATTTTAAACTTAGTACCTGCCAAAACTGAGCATTGAGCTTTTCTGGTTTTTTTTTTTTTTTTTTTTTTTTTTTTCTGGGCAAATTGGCTTCCTTCACATCTTTACTTCTATATACCTAGATCCTCCTCCTTTGAGTAGTCTAGACTGTGGTTTCCTCCACTCTGTTTTATCAGTTTGTATTTACTTGTTTACTTCTTTGTTATATGTCTCCCCAAAGTAGTGTATAAACTACTTGAGACAGAGAATTTCTGTTTTGTTCGCTACCATATCCCTAGCACATAGGATAGTGCCTGGTACACAGAAGACATTAAACAATCAAATGTTTAATAAATGAAAAAATAAATGAACATACTTTGCTTTCGTAAAAACAAACTTCTTTTCTACTTATGCCCACATCTCCCCTTCCATATTTATTCTCTTTGAATTTATTATGAGTTTATCACCTTTTCCCCTTATTTTAATCATTTCAATTTTTTTAAAGGGATCTTGGCAAGAAAAGGAGAAAAGCATGTGTCTTCACTGCCAGCCTTTAGGGTTACTTATGAGAATATTTTTCATGGGAAGAAAAACTCCTATTCTTTCATGTGTTCATCTACATTATGGCAGAAATCTTTTTTGTTTGTTTGTTTTTGGTAAGACTACAGAATTTGAAGATACTGAAAATGAAAAAATTGTTTATATTGCTAATGCGAACTTGGTTACAACCTAAATATCTATGGAAAAATCAACATGTGAAATATTTATTGTGATCAGGTGAATATAGTCAACAATGGTAACTAATATATGAAGTTAGTCTCAAATTAAGCCACTGCTTTCAGGTAAAATTTATATGGACTGATTGTCTATGTTATCATATAATGCCCAATAATTTTTACTGTGTCTTCAGCCATTCATTTATCATCACACACTGAAGCATAATGAAGGGAATGATTTCTATTTTAATTCTCATTATTCTAATAAACAATTCGCACTGTTTGTTTTTCTTAATGATAGTAAAGCACCATGTTTTCATACTTCAGACTCATTAGAAAAAATCATAATTTCTTGTTATGTACTTTTCTGTGTCTTCAAAGAAAAAATTGAGATCTGTAACCTGGACAATTTCCTGAAAGATATGGGGATTGAGGTTACATATGAGGAATATACAGAGCTAGTAAATCATCTCCCAACCAGTGGTGAGTATTTCAATTACTTTGGTGCCTTTCAAAGAGGGCTTTGGGTTTAATTATAAGACATACTGATACTGCACTTTGAATTACTATAAAAGTAATTACTATAATTTGAATTACTATAAAAGTAAACAGAAATATCCAGTACTAAAGGAGGGGATATGTTTGTGTATATATATTTATTATTACTGTTAGGATTTTTTTGAAATGAACATTCAGATTTTAAATAAATATTAAGATTGTTATACAGAAAGTATTGGGACCCTAAATGACACTGACTAGGCTGTATGGTCTCAGAAACATCATTAAGGTCATTGGAAGGCCAAAACATAGGCAGACAAAAGAAGAAATTTGGGGAATGGAGGTGAGGGAGGTTAAGATGAGGAATGAAAAGAGAAAAAATAAGTTTAAGTTCCATTTTACAAGTTATTAAGAACAACCTAAAGCAGTGTCATGAAATTCTAATTTACTTAGGTTCAACTGTCATAGTAATAAAGGTAGCTTTCATTTACACAATGCTTACTATCTAGTAGAGACTATGTTTACTTCACAATATTATTCCAAAAATACATGAAATAATATACATAATGTCTAAAAGAAATCTTATTTTTCTTCCTATATATTGAATTATCAATGTTAGAATATAGATGTAAAAAAAGTTGATGAGTTGTTTCTCCAATACAGTGGTGGAAGATTATAGCTATACACTAGTTTTTATATTAGTCCATTCTTGCATTGTTATAAAGAAATACCTGAGACTGGGTGATTTATAAAGAAAAGAGGTTTAATTGGTTTACAGTTCCATAGGAGGTACAGAAAGCATGACCTGCTCAACTTCTGGGGAGGCCTCAGGAAACTTATAATTATGGCAGAAGGTGAAGGAGAAGCAGGCATGTCACATGGCTGAAGCAGGAGCAAGAGGTTGGGGAGGTGCTATGCACTTTTAAACAACCAGATCTCCTGAAAACGAACTCACTATCATAAGAACAGCATGAAGGGGATGGTGGTAAACCATGCATGAATATCGACCCCCATGATCCAGTCACCTCCCACCAGGCCCCAGCTCCAACACTGGGGATTACAGTTCAACATGAGATTTGATTGGGGCCACATATCTCAGCTATATCAGTTTTTAATGAGAAAGAAATAGGTCTAAATCTATCTCATTTGCCCATTTACTCATTTAACAAATACTTATTGAGGACCTGATGAATCAGGCCTGTTCCTGCCATCAAGAAATTGTATAGTTCATTTGTGGTGAGGGGGAAGTATATAAAGACAATTGGAAAGTAAAGTGTTAAAAGTGCCACAATTATTGAGAGTAAATATACAATAAATATTTGAGGAATGATGGAAGGAGGGAAAGTAGAAGGAAGGAAATAATGGTTACTCTCAGGTAACTAAGTGGTTAAATCTGATGAGGTGGATTTTTTAAAAAAAGAGCTGCTGCTACAAAAGTGGGCAAGGCAGTATTATACAGGAATTTTATCCTACAAGTAATAGTGTTGAGGGAGCCATTGAAGATTTTCTTGTTTGGGAGTGACTTCATGTTTTGTCCTTTAGACTTTTTAGAGCCTTCAGGATAAATTTCATATACTTTTGCTCAGAAAAGTAACAAACAAAAACCTTATCGATCTTCTCTTAACTGTTATGTCCACCTCATTTCTCTCTCTCTCCTACCATACACTTCCAAGTCAGTGATGAAAATGAACTGGGCAGCTTGTTGAAAAAAATTTAAACATAGAAACACACACATACACACACACACACACACACACACATATGCACTTGAGATGATCATGTGATTTTTGTTTTAAAATTTTGTTTATGTGGTGTATCACATGTATTGACTTGCGTATGTTAAGCTATCATGGTGGATTATCTTTTGATATGTTGTTGGATTCAGTTAGCTAGTATTTTGTTAAGGATTTTAGCATCTATGTTGATCAAGGATATCGGTCTGTAGTTTTCTTTTTTGGTTATATTCTTTCCTGGTTTTAGTATTAGGGTGATGCTGGCTTCATAGAATGAATTAGTGAGGGTTCCTTCTTTCTCTATCTTGTGAAATAGTGTCAAAAGTATTGGTACCAATTCTTTCAGTGTCTGGTAGAATTCTGCTGTGAATTGTCTGGTCCTGGACTTTTTTTTGTTGGTAATTTTTAAATTACCATTTCAGTCTTGCAGCTTGTTATTGGTGTGTTCAGGGTATTCAATTCTTCCTGATTGAAGCTAGGAGGGTTGTATTTTTCCAGGAATTTATCCATTGCCTCTTCTAGGTTTTCTAGTTTATGTGCATAAAGGTGTGCATATTAGCATTGAATTATCTTTTGTATTTCAGTGGTGTCAGTTTTAATATCTCCTGTTTCATTTCTTAGTGAGATTATTTGGATTTTCTCTCTCCTTTTCTTCGTTAATCTTGCCAATGGTCTATAAATTTTATTTATCTTTTCAAAGAACCAGCCTTGTGTTTCATTTATCTTTTATTTTTTCTTGTTTCAACTTCATTTAGTTCTGGTCTGATCTTGGTTATTTCCTTTCTTCTGTTGGGTTTGGGTTTGGTTTGTTCTTGCTTCTCTAGTTCCTTGAGGTGTGACCTTAGAGTGTCAGTTTGTGCTCTTTCAGTCTTTTTGATGTAGACATTTAGGGCTGTGAGCCTTCCTCTTAGCATCACATTTGCTGTATCCCAGAGGTTTTCATAGGTTGGGTCATTATTGTCATTCAGTTCTAAGAATTTTTAAATTTCCATCTCGATTTTATTTTTGACCCAATGGTCATTCAGGAGCAGGTTATTTAATTTCCATGTATTTTCATGGTTTTGAAGGTCCCTTTTGGAGTTGATTTCCAGTTTTATTCCACTGTGGTCTGAGAGAGTGCTTGATTTAATTTCAGTTTTCTTAAATTTATTGAGGCTCATTTTATGGCCTATCATATGATCTATCTTGGAGAAAGTTCCATACACTGTTGAATAGAATGTGTATTCTGCGGTTGTTGAAGTGTTCTTTATGTATCTGTTAAATCCATTTGTTCCAAGATATAGTGTCAATTTTTTGTTTATTTATTTATTTTCTGTCTTGACGACTTCTCTAGTGCTGTCAGTGGAGTATTGAAGTCCTCCACTATTATTGTGTTGCTGTCTATCTCATTTCTTAGGTCTATTAGTAATTTTATAACTTTGGGAGCTCCAGTGTTAGGTGCATATATGTTTAGGATTGTGATATTTTCCTGTTGGACAAGGCTTTTTACCATTGAATACTGTCCCTCTTTGTCTCTTTTAACCACTGTTGCTTTAAAGTTTGTTTTGTCTGATATAAAAATAGCTACCCCTGCTCGCATTTGGTGTCCATTTGCATGGAATGCCTTTTTCCACCCCTTTGCTTTTATGTGAGTCATTATGTGTTAGTAAGTCTCCTGAAGGCAGCAGATATTTGGTTGGTGAGTTCTTATCCATTCTGTGGTTCTGTATCTTTTAAGTGGAGCATTTAGGCCATTTACATTCGATGTTAGTATTGAAATATGAAGTACCATTGCTTTCATCATGCTCCTTGTTGCTTGTGTACTTTGTGTTTTTTGGTTTTTTTGTTTGTTTTTGCTTTTTAACTTGTATTTTTGTGTTATAGGTCCTGTGTGATTTGTGCTTTAAAGAGGTTCTGTTTTGATGATGATTTTTCAAGATTTGTTTTAAGATTTACAGCTCCTTTTAGCAGTTCTTGTAGTGGTGGTTTGGTAATGGCGAATTCTCTCAGCATTTGTTTGTCTGAAAATGGTTGTATCTTTCCTTCATATATGATGCTTAGTTTCACTGGATACAAAATTCTTGGCTGATAATTGTTTTGTTTGAAGAGACTGAAGATAGGTCCCCAATCCCTTCTGGTTTGTAGGGTTTCTGCTGAGAAGTCTGTTGTTAATCTGATAAGTTTTCCTTTACAGGTTACCTGATGCTTTTGTCTCATAGCTCTTAAGAGTCTATCCCTCATCTTAACTTTGGATAACCTGATGACAGTGTGCCTAGGCGAAGATCTTTTTGTGATGATTTTCCCCAGTGTTCTTTATGCTTCTTATATTTGGTTGTCTAGGTCTCTCGCAAGGCTGGGGAAGTTTTCCTCAATCTGGATTTGGATTTCCTTGCATTGGACTTCACCTTTCTGTGGTCCCTCCCTGGTTAGCCTAATAGCTAACCTCTTGAATTATTTTTCAGGTAAATCAGGGATTTCTTCTGGGTTTGGATCCATTGCTGGTGAAGTGTGATTTTTGAGGGGTGTTGAAGAGACTTGTTTTGTCATATTACCAGGGTTGTTGTTCTGGTTCCTTCTTATTTGGATAGGCTCTGTCAGAGGGAAGGTCTAGGGCTGAAGGCTGTTGTTCAGATTCTTCTGTCCCATGAGGTGTTCCCTTGATGTAGTATTCTCCCCCTTCTTTCCCTAATGTAGCAGGAAGAGTCGCGGACAAAACCCCTCAGACACCGAGTTAAAGAAGAAAGGGGTTTATTCAGCTGGGAGCATTGGCAAGACTCCTGTCTCAAGAGCCGAGCTCCCCGAGTGAGCAATTCCTGTCCTTTTTAAGGGTTCACAACTCTAAGGGGTTCTGTGTGAGAGGGTCGTGACCAATTGAACGAGCAGGGAGTATGTGACTGGGAGCTACATGCACCGGTAATCAGAACAGAACAGAACAGGACAGGGATTTTTACAATGCTTTTCCATACAATGTCTGTAATCTAGAGATAACATAACCAGTTAGGTCAGGGGTCAATCTTTAACTACCAGGCCCAGGGTGTGGTGCCGGGCTGTCTGCCTGTGGATTTCATTTCTACCTTTTAGTTTTTACTTCTCCTTTCTTTGGAGGCAGAAATTGGGCATAAGACAATATGAGGGGTGGTCTCCTCTCTTATTCCCTCCCTTTGAGACTCTCACTCATTTTATTAGTGGGAGTTCTTACCTTCATCCTTACTACCTATGTCCTCCTGCATGACAGATCAATGGTGATTCATGTAGTACACTTGCGCTGAAGCA